AAATGTTTTAAAATACAAAGTTGTACAAAGCAAAAAATGACTCCACTCATGCTCTCAAGATTTTATTCTGTGCATTACATATATATGTGTGTTTGCATGTGTATATAATCACATGCATTCACACATATGTAATTTTTTAACAAATCGGATTATACATTCAGTTCTGCAAGTTTTCCTTTTTTGTTTACTGACACTTTGGATCTATTCATTGGTGTACCTTTTGGCATAGTTTTTTGTTGTTGTTGTTAATCCTCACCTGAGATATTTTTTCCATTGATTTTTAGAAAGAATGGAAGGGAGGGAGAGAGAGAGAGAAACATTGATATGAGAGAGACACATCTGTTGGCGGCCTCCCACGTGTGCCCCGATGCTCTAACCACTGAAAACACCAGCCAGGGTTTATCATAGAGTTTTATTTAAAATTTAAAAAAATTTTTTGGACTTCAGCAGGATTTACTAACCTTCCATTCAGTATGCTTTAAGTTGTATGTATGTGCTCTGACTTATAAAATATAATTTTATTTTCAGTGCTGAAGCCCTCATAGCTTGTTTTCTAGTCTCAGTTAATGGATATTAGATATATAACTGCTCTCATGTGGAGACTAGAGAAACATTTTGAGGTTGAAAGGGGGCCTCATATTGAAAGACGTTAGTTTGGAAAGTTTGGGGTAGAAAGTTGGGCAAAGTGTCTGCTAAAGTGCCTTTCAATTCCCATAGGTTTTCCTAATAAGTTTCTAGGGTTTTGTTTTTGTTTTTCAATTTTTTAAAACTATTTTTTTTAATCCTCACCTGAGGACATTTTTGCTTTATCTTCAGATAGAGTGGGAGGGAGAGAGGGGAGAAGAGAGAGAGAAAGAAACATCGATGTGAGAGAGACACATCGACTGGTTGCCACCCACATGACCCCAACCGGGCCAGGGACAAACCTCAGTCGAGGTACGTGCCCTTAGCAGCAACCGAACCTGGGCCTCTCTGGTCCGCAGAAAGCTCTAACCGCTGAGCCAGACTGGCCAGGGCTTTAAAACTATTTTTAATTGAATTTATTGGGATGACATTGGATAATGAAGTTATGTAGGTTTCAGGTATACAGTTCTATAATACATTATGTGTATATTGTATTGTGTGTTCATCACCCCAATTCAAGTATCCTTCCATCTCCATTTAGTCCCCCGTTACCCTCTTCTACTTTCCCCATCCTTCTTCCCTCTGGCAATCACCATACTGTGGTCTGTGCCCATGAGTCTTTTTGTCTTTGCTTAATCCCTTCATCCTTCTCACCTAGCTCCCAACCCCTCCCCTCTGACAGCTGTCAGTCTTCTCTGTATCCATGAGTCTGTCTCTACTTTGTTGACTTTATTCATTAGATTTCACATATAAATGAAATCATACTGTGCTTGTCTTTCTCTGACTGGCTTATTTCACTTAGCATAATATTCTCCAGGTCCATCCATGGTATTGCAAAAGGTAAGATGTCAAATTTGTTTATGGTTGAGTAAGTATTCCATTGTATAAATATACAACAGCATTTTTTTTTTTTTAAATCCTCACCCAGGGATATTTTTCCATCTATTTTTAGACAGAATGGGAGGCAGAGAGAGTGAGAAAGAATAATTGATGTGAGAGAGACACATAGATTGGTTGCCTCTCACACAACCCTGACCAGCAATGAAGGTATGTGCCCTTGACCAGAACTGAACCCATGACTCTTCAGTCTGAGGGCCAATGCTCTAACCACTGAGCAAACAGGCCAGGGCTACAACAGCTTTTTTTAATCTCCTCATCTACTGATGGACATTTGAGCTGCTTCCACATATTGGCTGTTAACACTGCAATGAACATAGGGGTGCATATATCCTTTTGAATTAGTGTTTTGGGTTTCTTCAAATATATTCCCAGAAGTGAAATTGCTGGGTCATAAAGTAGTCCTACTTACAATTATTTGAGGTAACTCTATACTGTTTTCCACAGTGGCTGCATCAATCTGCATTCCCAGTAGTGCACTAGGGTTCCCTTTTCCCCACATTCTCACCAACATTTGTTGTTGGTTGATTTATTGATGGTAGCCATTCTGACAGGTGTGAGGTGATATCTCATTGTGGTTTTAATTTGCATCTCTCTGATAATTAGTGAGGATGAGCATCCTTTCATTTGTCTATTGGCCATTCTGTAATCCTCTTTGGAAAAGTGTCAATTGAGATCCTAATAAGTTTCTTGGTTGGTATCATCATTCAGCAAATAATGACGGATGACTCAGCATGTGCCCAGCATTGTTCTAGTCCTTGCTTACATTCTACCAGGGAAAGCAGACGGTGAACCAAGGAACGCATTCAGGCTACGATAGGTGCAGTGAAGAAGTGAAGCTAGGTGAGGTGTGGAGAGAGCCTTTGGAACAGGCCAACAGGGCAGCGATGGGAGAGCTGAATCTTCTATACACCGGGACCGGAGCAGGCCCTGCTGTCCTCGAGTTACCAGAAGCCCAGTGACTTGGAGAGAATGCCCTGCGTGTGGCTGCCTGAGCGCACGCTCTGTGGCTTGCCAGGGGCCATCCAGCAGGGCATAGGGTTATTAGCAGGCCTCAGCCTGGGCTGGGCGACTGCACTGAAGACACTGCTCAGGGTCCATGGCTGTATGCTCTGCTTCTTAAGAGAAGGTTTTTGGCAGGGACTAGAGTTTGTGCATGTGAAACTTTCCAAGTCTGTCCTGCAGAATCCCGGTGTGTCCTGGGCACCTTCCCTTCCCAGTCCAGGTGGGCCATGAGGGGGATAAAAGGAAGATTGGGGGCTTTGCAGCCTCCTTCTCCCGACCCCGATGCCATGGCTGGGCTTGGAAGGGGACAGGGTACTCTAGGTATCTTAACAGAAGTCATTTTATAAGTTGAATTTTTTTGAAATAAAATTTCTCTCTGAAAGAAAACTTTGGATGGTATACGTTGTAGAGGAGGTACTTCGGCAGACTGTTGCACGGCACACTGGTAGGTATGCAGGTGGCTGTTTTATCCTAGATAGGAAAATGGGGCCTAGTGAGCTATTCGATGACTAACCCCCAGCCACCCAGCTCGGGGAGGAAGAGAGCAGACCACATCCTGCCCCCGCCGCAGGCCTGAGTGGAAGAAGCAAGGTGTTCCTGACTTTGAGTGAAAACTCAAGACTTGGGCAGGCAGGCATGGCTTCACAACAGTGCAGGTGTTACTTTCGAACTAGCTGATGGAGAAATTCTACCCCTAAGCCACCTGGCTTCCTGGAGAGCAGATGTTGTAGTCTTCAGTTTCATTATCTCCCTACTTTTATGTAGAGGTGAGCTTGGTGGATGGACTTAAATTAGATCCCTTCAAAAAACTAGTTCCCGTTGGAAAGTGAAACCATGAAAACCCCCTGAGGGCGGGCTGGAAGGGTGCCCAAGGCCTGAAACCCAGGAGGTGCGCAGGTATGAGCAGAGCAGGAAGCTGAGAGTGGACAGTGCAGCGTGTGTGCGTGCGTGAGGGGGTCCCCTCGTCTGCGAGCACTGGCTGCAGCACTTAGCAATGTGTGGATTGCAAGCTCCAGGTCACTCAGCACCGGGCCCTCCTCCTCCACCTCTGAATGTTCCTGGGAACCAGTGCATAGGAGCAGATGCCTCTGTTCAGGTTGCATGCCACGTGCTGAATACCTGTCTCCTTTCTCTGTACTCGCTCCCCAACCTACACTGGCCTCTTTGCCTCTGTTTGAAAGGGCCTACAGCTGGGGTTTCTCAGTGGGGAATTCCCAGTGTGACCGATGGGGATGGACCTCACTGAGTGTCACTGCCTTGGAGGGACAAGTTTAGTGGACTCAGGACTGCAGTACCCTGTGCCTCTAGGCACAGTCTGTGCCTCCTTTGTCTTTAGAAGGGAAGGGTTAGTAGCTTGAGTCGGATGAGTCTGGCCTTCCTTTCGCTTTCTTCTTGGGGCAGACTACCCTGTCACATTAATTTCTGACCACCACACTTCGAAGGGTCTATGTAAATTAAACTAGAAAGTCACAGGGTACTGAGGCATTAGCCAGTTTATGTATGAAGATGGTCTGCTCCAGGCCAGGTGGGTACTGGTACATTATATACATTTTCTCCTTTAATCACCATGACCACCCTGGAAGGAAGGCCTGGTCTCAGAGATGGGAACCCAAGGCTCAGAGGGGCTAAGTCACCAGCGAGTGGTGGAACCATGCAGGTCTCTCTGCTTTGTGCAGTGCTGCTTCAAAGGATAATGACAGAGGAGAAAGAGGGGCTTGGCTTGGACAGGCCAGTGGCCTTCAAGCAGGTGGAGAGGGGCTAGCATTCCCCTTGGTGGTAGTGTTGCCAGGTAAAATACGGGACACCCAGTTAAATTTGAAATTCCGAGAGGTAGCAAATAGCTTTTTTTAAGTATCAGTATGTCCCATGCAATATTTGGACATAATTTTAATTAAAAAGGTGGTGGTTCCTCTGATATTCAGACTTAACTAGGTGTCCTGTGTTTTTGTTTGTTTCATCTGTTTAATTTGGTCCCCTACTTGAGGTCTCCAGGAAGCACACTGGGCCTAAGGTATGGGCAGCTGAGGGTGACAGAAGGCGCTGCACAAGCCACGCTGGAAAGGCTGCACATTAGGCAGTGAGCTCCCTGCTGCAGGGTGCATTCAGGTGTAGGCTGGGTGACCACTTAGTGGAGGGCATTGGGTTTCAGATGCCTGGTTCCAGTGAGAGTCTGGGAAATAAACATTTTTGAGACAAGGAGGAGAGTTGATCACCTGGGTCCTCAGAGCTCCAGCATTCAGAAACTCTGAAGTCATTTGCCATCAGCACATGTTGGGGACCAGCTCTCCCAGCTGCCCAGGAGTGATGGGTGGTCTCAGCCATTTGGTAGAAATAAGCCCAGCCAGCATGGTCTCTTTAAGGGGTTTGGTTTGACTTGAAGAAGCACTGTGTGCAAGGTGAAATGAAATGCACATTTTGGTCTCTCTTGCCGAGAACTGACTGTGACTTCCTGGTTCTTTATGTGTCTCCCGCAGCAGAGTGCAGCTTGTGTGACCTGCATGTCTCCAAGGCAGTGGAAGCATGAAAAGCACCCTCCCCCCAGCCTCTGCACAGGCCTTTGCAGGCAAGTGAATGGAGACGGAGAAGTTTCGATGTTCATTTCTCCTGTGTACACATTCTTTAGTTGTGGCTACATCTCGTCAGCAAGTCAGGGATCTAAACAACCTGCTTGTAATTGCCCAGTGTGGCTTCTGCCCTCTGCGAAGGTCTAGCCCTTGGCAGGACTCTTCTTGCCCACCTGTTTCTAAGCCCTGGCAGGTGCAGAGTAAGAACAACATTTTGATCCGTGAAGTGCTAGGTATATGCAAAGAGGTGCACTGATGTCATCTTGAACCCCAAAGCTACTCCTTTCAGAGGCAGAGGCAGGCGGGGCACAGGGGAGATGTTGGAGGCGTAGGAGCAGTTTTCGGTGGGTCTGATGAGCTCTGCCTAACAGGGAAGGTGTCCGTGACCGTGGGTGTGCTGAGTGCCCTTATTCTGCACGATGCTTTGCACATCCTCCTGCAGATGGTGGCACTGAGAAAAGGAGATTAGAAACGTTTTGATGTTAGTCTGGTCCAGAAGGCAGTCAAAAGGCAAATCTGCAAAAGTAAAATTGTATCACTCATTCCAAAGCAGATAGGAATGGCTCCTTCCCATTCAGGTGTTTTAACTTTGACTTCATTATACTGAGAAGTTATTATTATTCAAAATAAAACATTAGCCCTGGCTGGTTGCTCAGTGGTTAGAGCGTCCACGTATGGAACAGAGTTTTGGGTTCGGTTTTGGTCAAGAGCACGTACCTCAGTTGTGGTTCGATTCCCAGCCCTGGTTGGGGTTGTGCGGGAATCAACCTGTAGGCCACCTGTCGATGTGTCTCTCTCGCATCAATGTTTCACTCTCTCTCCCTCCCTCCCTCCCTCCTTCCCACTTCATCTGAAAATCAATGGAAAGTATCCTTGGGTGAGGATTAAAGAAAATAAAATAAAGAATAAATAAATAAAACATTAAGTTAAATACCGAGTCAAAATACCTATTGTATCAATAGAAAGTTTTAAAAAATATTTGTACTGATGCTGTTAAGTGGAATCACCTGTTGTCTTTGGGACCTTTTGTTTAAATGATGCATGTGTAAGCAGCAGGAGCATGTTGCTGTTTTCCAGGAAGAATCGCTGAATGGCTGACATTTGACAACATGCACCACCAGTGGCTTCTGTTGGCCGCATGCTTTTGGGTGATTTTCATGTTCATGGTGGCCAGCAAATTCATCACGTTGACCTTTAAAGACCCGGATGGTAGGTATGCTGCCTTGTGGAGTGAGTTTTGGTTAATCCAGACCTTGCTGTGATACGTTCCTGGGCACATGCACGGATGACCTTTATCACAGAATCCAAGTGGACTTTCATTCCAGAAGAGACCGTGGAGGTCATGGCCTCCAAATCCTTCACCTTATAGAGGTGTGAGGGTGGAGGGGAGGGGACATTCTTCCCAGCACCGCCCTTGGGGGTGGGCAGAATGTGCTTAGTTTGTGAGTTCTTTTGTTCCTCCTCCATAGCATCCCATAGGCTCAGGATCTGGGACCGTGTTCTGCTTGGTGGCATCATGAGACACTACTGTGTTGATTAGCCTGCCTGAGTGCCAGCTGGTGCTGCACACTGGTGGCCACGTGTTTGAAGGTCACCTTCAGTGTGTCAGAAAGAAGGTGATTGAAATATGTGCCTGTTGGGTTGTTTCTGAGGGTTTTCCACTCCCCTTGACTTGGTGTGGGCCGTCAGGTGAGGACGCATGAAGAGCACCAAGCCCAGCCTCAGCGGAGCTGCTTCTGGGTCAGCTCTTGTCCTCTGCTTACCCAGGCCTTCATGTTTTTTCTACCAAACCAACATGCTACGTGCTCTGACAGCCTCTAAAACTGACCTGAACATGGCAAGGCTCTCTGAGTGACCCGTGAAGTGCTGCGTACGTGCTAAGAAGTACAGTGGTCGGTCATCTTGAACCCCAAAATGACTTATTTCAGAGGCAGAGTGAGGTGACGCACAGGGGAGATGGAGCAGTTTTAGGTGGGCCTGACGAGGTCTTCCTAACAGGGAGGATGTTTGTGACTATGGGTGTGGTGGGTGTCCTCACTCTGCTCGATGCTTTTCACATCCTGCAGGTGGTGGCCCTGAGCAAAGGAGATGAGAAAGTGTCACACAAGCAGCTCCCCGATTTTCTCCTGCAGGCCCTGCTCTGCCTGGAGCTCCTGGCTGTGTCCTGCAGTGCGAGGGCTGCCTGCTGCCCCCGTCTCCTGCTCCCAGTCTCCCTCTTCTCTCTGTCTGTCCAGGAACAACAGGGTTGGAAGGCAGATCTGCAGGCAGAAGAGGATAGTCCTGAAATCAGCTCCAAGGGCGGTGTGGGGGTTCTCCGCTCCACAGGTCCCACTCACACATAGTTGTCAGTTATCAGGGCCTCAGTGCTTGGGGCCCCAATGGGCTGCCATCACAAGTCACCCCTCATCTTCCAGGAGCCCTCATGAGAACCTGAGCTTTCGCAGCCTCTGGAAGGTGCTGAACTCAGACCCCTTCGTCACACCTGCAGGCATCCAGGCTGGCCAGGAGCATCACAGACAGGCATGGCTCCACCTGGGGCTTGGGGCCTCTGTCAGCACAGCGAGGGCTCAGTCTTGGAGCCTTGTTGGAATCTGAGACGATGTTCTCAGCCTGGCAGTGTGGACATTGCCTCCGCTGCTCCAGGTGGCTTCATGTTAGTGAGCGTGGGGGCCCCTGTTACGAGTGAGAGCAGTGGTTCTCCTCCCCTAGCTCTTCAGAATCATTGGGGGACTTTGTAAACCTCTGCTGCTTGGGGCCAACCAGAGACCAAGTGAATCTGAATCTAGGAGTGGGGCCCGGTGGAGAGACCCAAGTGTAGAAGAGCTGAGACTATGAAACCCATGTCACTGAGAGCCTACACCTTTTACTTGTGATGCCTTTAAAAGTCACTTCCTGGTGCCCGGCTGGTGTGGCTCAGTGGTTGAGCGTCGACCCATGCACCAAGACATTGTTGTTCAGGGCACATGCCCAGGTTGTGGGCCCGATCTCCAGTGGGGGGCATGCAGGAGGCGGCCAGTCAATGTTCTCTTTCATCGATGTTTCTATCTCTCCTCCCTTCCTCTCTCTCTAAAATCAATAAAGAAAAAAAATTTTAAAGTCACCTCAGAGGGCAGGTCATGAGGTTAAATTGTTTATGGTTTATTTTGTTTAAAACAGTAGAACAGGTAATATATTTATAAGATTTCCACCAAAAATAATTAAATTAGATGTGTGTTTATTTAGAGTTATATTATTCTCAAGTTCCTCTCCAAAACACCTGACTCCTCAGTGGTGACTGATAAATGAGGTGTCATTCTGCTTTGATGTGACCAGTTTTATACTGAATGTTTTCAGAAAAGTTTAGAAGCTGAGATGCTTTGTAAAGGGGAGCAAAACATTAGAGGGAAAGAGGAAAAATCTGCAGAGAAGGAGGAAAAGCTTTAGGATTTTATTTTATTTTTAATTTTTATTAAATCTATTGGATGCTTTGGGATTTTTTTTTTCTTAATCCTCACCCAAGGATATTTTTCCATTGATTTTTAGATAGAGTAGAAAGGAAAGAGGGAGAGAGAGGGAGAAAAACATCGATGTGAGAGAGACACATCAATTGGTTGCCTCCCACATGACCCCCACTGGGATGGGGGAACAAACCTTTAACCCAGGTACGTGCCCTTTGACCAGTAATCAAACCTGAGATCCTTTGGTCCTTGGGCCGACGCTCTAACCTCTGAGCCAAACTAGCCAGGGCTACTTGGGGATTTTATACCTGAGGAAAGATCTGTGGTAGTCCCCAGCGCTGCTCACCAGGTGTCTCCGGCCCTTTAAGATGAGTGGTAATCCTCGGGCCCTTTGGTTCCATGTGGCCGTGTGGTGTGATGGTTGTGGTCAGTGGACCCCTCCAGGTGGGAACCTTGGAGCCTCACTCCCCCTTTCCCACTCAGGGAAGCAGTAGAGGGTCCCGGTGAGGGTGCACTAGTGAGGGTGGTGTCAGCCCGCAGGGTGCACTGAACTCAGAGTGAGAGTCTTTCATTGTTGGGCCCACAACCTAGGGCGGCCTTTCTTGACCACAGAGGATCTTAACCTGATTGTCCCAGGGTGCCTGGCTGGAATCACGGAGATGGGTGGCCGTTGGCTGAGTTCTGAATGAAGGCAATGAGCTCACATGCAGGGTCTTACCAGTGTGGTTGCTTGAGCTCTGGAGCTCAGCCACTGAAGGCCACCAGAGATGACCTGGAGGGGTGGTTCAGGCATCTGCCCCTGAGCCCTGTGGTTCAGTGGGAATGGTCACTTAGCCTTAGGGGCCCCCTCTTTCTGGGGAGGCACTTAAACCCCCTGGATCTTGGAGTCAAACAGGAAACTGAAAGAGGTTTGTAAACTTGTGTCCGCAAGAGATTTCTCATGTGTTAGAATTTGTTTCGCTGGTGTTCACAGTAGTTTAGCCTTTGAACCAAAAGCCTAGTGTGAGACATCATCACAAGGAAATAACTGACAACCAGCAGTGTCATGTGTGATGACAGCCCACTTCCTGTGACGCAGGTGGCGAGCCCTCGGTCCCAGCAGAGGGCTGGCTGTAACACAGGTGTCCGTAGGGCTCTTTCTGGAGTCCTGCAGTGGGTGTGTGTCTCCTCCTCCGCCTGTTCCTGATGACCCCTCTGGTTAAGCTGACAGGACGAGCAGACTGTCCTGAACTGCTATTTACAGCCCCGCTCACCTTGTTGTTTATAGCGGTGTGTTTGCTCCCTTCGGCTCATCAGTGATGCCACAGTGATATTTGTGGCAACGACTTGTCCTTGGTTAACAAAGTCCAGTTTCATGTTTATCATAGGGAAATAGAGCCCATGCAGTGATGGGAATTTTGTGGCATGGGACGTTGAGACCTGAAATAGAAGTGACATCCTTGTGCATCTGATACATAGGTATAGACACTGATTTTTCGGCTCACTTTTGTGTGACCTCCTCTTCCAGTCTCTTGCCTCCACTTAGCCCCTCAACTTGGTTGTAAGCCGCTTAAGGGCAGAGCAAATGACCAGTGTCTTTGCATGCCCTCTGCCCAGTGTGTGCTGGGAGCGGTGACACTGGGTGACTGGACATAGTGTGGTCAGGGAGATGAGTGGATGGGATCCCTTCTAGGAAAACAAAGCAGGGTATCATTTGGCGAGTTAAAGGCGTTTTGTAAACCTGGTAAATATAATGAAACCTATAATAAAAGTGAGCTGATACACTATGAAGGCACCTGGCCATGGCGGGAGGATCAGAATCCTGTCTTGCAGCTAGAGTCTTGTTCCTGAGGGTCGGTGGGGAAAGGAACCGCTCTTCATAGTGGGGAATAATAGTATCTGCTGAAAATAAATGGTTGTCGGCAAAGCAATGGGAAAACGAAACCAAACATAAAAAATATTCCAATTTTGTTGAATCAGGGCCAAGGGGAACTGGGGAGAAAATACCAGGAAGTTTGAAATCATAAAAATGTTAAAAATTGGCAGATGACTGCCCAGCATGTGAGATGTTCCATAGCTACGAAAGCCTGTTCCGTATGCAACAGGCAACTTTTCAGAAATTTACTGATCAGTCAATTGTTTAGAATTCAAGATACATTGTCCTATTTAAAATGTTATTAAGGAAGCTTAGCCCTGGCTGGTTTGGCTCAGCGGATAGAGTGTTGACCTGAAGACTGAAGGGTTTCAGGTTTGATTCCCAGTCAAGGGCATGTACCTGGGTTGCAGGTTCGATCCCCGGCCTCGGTTGGGGTCATGCGGGAGGCAACCACTTGATATGTCTCTCACACATCAGTGTTTCTCTCTCTCTCTCTCTTTATCTCTTTCTTTCCCTCCCACCCTCCTTCCTTTCCACTCTCTCTAAAAAAAGTTAATGGAAAAAATATCCTTGGGTGAGGATTAACAAAAAAAAAAGAGGACGTTTAGATTTCTGTGAAAGCTGTTGAACTAAGTGTTGAGCGAGGTAAGTATTGCAGTGCTACTGGTGCTGTGGGAACAGCAGGTGACCAGACAGCAGGGGAGTGTGACCTTTTTATTAGCAGGTTCGTACGCCAAGATGATAAGGTTGTGCGGGAAGAGGATGGACAGGCGTTGGTCCTGAGCCCTCAGAGCGCATTCAGCAGCTTTAGGCTGGCAGCATTGATGCCTTTGTCTAGTTTTGCACCATAAATGTAACGCTTAGTCCTTATTGCAGATACAGAACAGCTCCTGTGCACAGCTTTGGTTAGGTTGCATTTTAACCCAAACCTGGAAAACAGGAAAAAATATTTTAGTGGGATTCATAAAGGTGTGTGGCAGAGAGCTTTCTATTGGAGTCAGATAACAAAGCTGTGGGAGAGAGACGAGATTATTGTTGTGGGGGCATTGGTAAGATGTTTTCACCCTCCTGTGCAGGGGCAGATTGGCTGCAGGCGCTTTCTGATGGCAGTGCTGGCTGGGGAGGGGACCTGAGGTCCGGTGGCAGGTGGGGGCCACAGTAGTGTGTGGAGTGTTGGCATTAATGACCTAAGGGGAGTAGGTTTCGACTTTTTTTTCAAAGTGAACTGTGCCTTTGTTTGTGCTTTGTTGTGGTGATTTTTTTGCTTTTATTTGCTATCTATTTTTTCTAGTTATGTATTAGTCTTTGCAAAGTTTTGAAAGTACATATTTGATTGTAGAGATCTGAAAATTATCTTCAAATTTTGCCCCAAAGGTTTTCCAAAAATCAGTTTGCTGTAAATTATTACTCTGTACTAGCATTTTGTAAGATTTCTGTAGTCCCATCTCAGTTCCCATGAATTTTTAAATTAATGTGCAAGCACTATCTTGACTGCTAACTCAGCTTTCTTAAAATTAAACTTCCTATTGGGATCATTATAGAGTCACACGCAGTTGTAACAAATAACAGATTGAATTCTGTTTCCCTTGACTCTGTTTCCCCCAGTGGTAACATCTTGCAGAACTACACTGCAGAATCCTGAGCAGGATTTTGACAGTCAAGATGAGAACACCTTCATCACCACAGGAATCCCTTCCTTTGCACTTTTATAGCCGCACCCACCTCCTTCTCCCCACCCCACCCCCAACCACTCATCTCTTCTCTCCGTCATTTTGTCCTTTCAGAAATATTATCATGGGAGGGGGTTTAGGAGGCTACGTGAAAAAGGTGAAGGGATTAAGAAGTGTAAATTGGCAGGAACAAAATAATCACAGGGACAGCAAAGGGAATATAGTCAGTAATATTGTAATTACTATGTACGGTGCCAGGTGGGTACTAGACTTATCAGGGGGATCACTGTGTAAAGTATATAAATGACTAAACACCATGCTGCACATCTGGAACTAATATAATATTAAATGTCAACTATAATTGAAAAAATATATTTTAATTTTTTTAAAAAATGGAGTGAGAAGAAAAAGAATATTATATCCAGTATGTGACCTGTTGGGATTGCCTCTTGTTACTCAGCATAAAAAATCCCTGGGGTCCTGGCCAGTTTGGCTCAGCGGTTAGAGCGTCGGCCTGCGGACCAGAGAGTTCCGGGTTTGGTTCCCGCTAAGGGCACATGCCTCGGTTGCAGTTTGTCCCTGGCCCCAACCGGGGTCATGTGGGTGGCAACCACTCAATGTGTCTCTCTCACATCGATGTTTCTCTATCTGTTCCTCCCTCTCTCCCTCCTGCTCTATCTGAAGATAAAATGCAAAAATGTCCTCGGGTGAGGATAAAAAAAAAAAATCCCTGAGGATTTATCCGTTGTGTGTGTCAGTGGTTTGTTACTTTTTATTGCTGCATTCCAAGGTGAATGTCCCTTTTTGTTTAGCCTGTGGAAGGACACTGTTTCCAGTTCGGGGCTGTTACAAATGAAGCTGCTCCAAGCGTGTGTGTACAGGTTTTGCGTGAATGTAAATTCTCATTTCTCTGGGGAAACGCCTGGGAGTGCAACTGCTGGGTCATGTGGTAGCTGCATGATTAGTTTTTAAAGAATTGACCAAACTTTTTCTAGAGTTGTGCCATTTTACATTCCCACTAGCCACATATGAGTGATTCAGTTTCTCTGCATCCTCACTAGCATTTTGTATTTTCACTATTTTGTATTTTAGCCATTTTCATAGGTATATAGTGGTATCTGTGGGGTTTTTTTAGTGGCTTTTTTAAAATTATAGTTGGCATACAATATTATATTAGTTTCAGGTGTACACATCCATGATTAGACATTTATATAACTTAGGAAGTGATCATCCCAATAAATCTAGTAATCCTCCGACACCATGTACAGTTACTACAGTGTTGTTGACTGTGGTCCCTATGCTGTACTTTACATCCTTGTGACTATTCACGGGGCAAAAGTAGGTTTACAGTTGTGAGTATGTTAAACAGTTTATTCTTGTATTATTATTTATTAATTATTGTATTATTTTCATGCGAACAGTTGGAAGCCTCCTCTTGCTCCCCCCTGTACCAGTTCACTGTGGTTGTATTTTGCATTTGCCTGATGGCTCATAGTGTTGAGCATCCTTTCGTGTGTTTATTTGCCACCTGTATCTCCTCTTCGGTGGAATGTCTGCCCATGTCTAAGTGGATTATTTTTGCTGTTGAGTTTTGAGAGTTCTCTGTGTATTCTAGATAACAACTCATTTGTCAGATATGTGGTTTGCAAATATTTTCTCCCAGGCTGTAGCTTGCCTTTCCATGATCTGTGCCAAGCAAATTTTATTTTGAGGAGGTTTATTTTATCAATTTTTCCAAAGACTTTCTCCTTTGTCTTTTAAAAAGTTTTACAGTTTTATGTGACTATATATGTTCAGTTGCTCGAGCACCATTTGTTGAAAAGGCTTTCCCCTGTCCCGAATTGCTTCTGCACCTGTCACATGGGCATGTTTGTGTAGGTCCGCCTCGGGGGCTTCTTTTCTGCCTCCCTGATCTGTGTGTGTGCTCCCCAACGGGAAGGGTGCTAACCTCTCTGTCTCCTAGCCTACAGCACCAAACAGGAGTTCCTGTTCCTGACAGCCGAACCGGATTCCGGGAAGTTACGGGGAGAGAAGCAGTTTCCCGAGGAACTGAAGGTGGGCACAGCAAGGCAGAGGGCCCTGTCCCCTCTGGCCTGCAGCACAGGAGCAGGGCTGCCTCTTCCCCCTCTTCCCTGGGGCGTCTCCGTCACCACTCCCTGCTCCTGGCACCTCTGCGTGGGCCCCAGCCTGCCCTCTCCCGGAGCTCTCCCCATCCTGTCCTGCTCGGTAGTCGCTGCTTTTCCCGCGTCTGCACTTCTCCGCTCACCTCTGGCTTCTCTTTGGGGCAGCATGGCACAGCTGTGTGTTCCTCACAGGGCTTTGCACGTCATGCGCCACGTGTCAGTTGCGCTAGATTCCCGACCAGCTGACAGTCTTGCCAGGGGAGTGGAGGGTGTTGGGAAAGGTCAGGAGGAAACCAGGGCTGTGGGAAAAGGTCTCTGACCTAGAATCTTGGAATTTTAGGGTTAGAAGGGTCTCGGACAGAAGAGCTGTAATCCAGCCTGGGAGTGGCGGGGATGAGAACCGAGTTAGGAAAAAGGCGGGTCATCCAGAATCACACTGATGTTCTGATCTAGGTCTTCTCGGGCTCCTTTACACGTAAGTCCTGATCATGCCTTAGCTCAGCGAGGGACGTCCTCTTGAGATCCCCTGTCACTTGCTGCCCCGTTCTGGGTCTGGAAGGGTTGGGTTGCAGGTGTGCTGGAAGGAATGAAATGGGTAAAGCAAGCTCTAAGGATGCGTATCAGCCAGAACTAAACCACCGAGAAGGGGACTTGCAGTGAGAGGACGAGGGGTTAGAACCGCAGAGTCTGGGAAGCCGGCACCGGGTCAGAGTAGTGACGTGGGGCGCTGCACAGGGGCGGGTGCAGCAGGCTCGGGTCCGCAAGGCTCTCGTCAGGTGGCCAGGAACGTTTCTTCCGGTTGAGGTTTTCCAGGGCCAGGAAGGCGTGCTTGGACTATGGAGCTAAGAAACCAACCTCTGGGAAACAGGAGGGTGGCTTTCGTAGAAAGAGTTAAGGAAAATGATGTTTAGTGACTTGGATCATTGAGGACCTTAAGGTAGGGTAAGAATTTTGCAAAAGGAATAAAGTGCTTTGAGACAAGGGCCTGCTAGGATGCTGCCACCCTGTGAAGAAAACATGTCCCCCTGCGGTCACTCGGGTGAGGGAAAGCTCCTCTGTACAGACTGTTGGCCTGCAGCAGCCACTGTGGTTGAAAATACTGTACCTGAACTGTGCCTTACAGTTCCTGGGCTCGAATATATCATGGACAGCAAGTAGTGAAGGTGAATTTTCAACCCCGTGTTCTCTGTGCCCTTCTCTTTCCTACCCCATCCCACTGATTCTCATACAAATCAGGTGTGAGGAGAAGGAAATGGGAACAATGGTAGATGTCATTCTCAGACTAAGAATCGTCAGCTGTGTTAAGCTCAGCATGTTTTCCCCAAAGAAAGGTCCTTTAGGAAGGAGATCTGGTTGCATAGCTTAACTTTAAAAGTAGCCGAATATGTTAATGGAAAATAGTAGGAAATAATATCAGACATTAAAATTGGCTTTGTATATTTGCAGGGAAAAAATAGAAAGCGATATCAGTCAGTAAATACAATAGAATGAGAATAGTTTTTTCTTTGTATATAATGCGTAAGCTCGGAAAAAAACAAATTCAGAAGTGACAGATTTTTCTGCAGTTTCTCAGTAGAACTGGTTGGAGGTGCCCTGGGATGCACTGCTCTTCAGCGTCATCGGTGATCAGGATTAGCTCTGAGGTTTAAAAACATTGGGGCCGAGTGAGAAGAAAGACTCTCTGGAGAAGTGAGCCAGAGTGGGGAGTGATGAGGGAGTGGGGTCAAAGCACGAAGCAGGTGGCGGGGACTGGTCCCTGGCGACGTGCGAGGCCAGGGCAGCAGGTTGTGGTTGGGGAGGAACAGAGGTCACTGCAGAGGAGCACGGGGGAAGGTCTGCAGGTGTTCTCTCTCACTTCCTCCACGTCTTCACCTCGGGAAGTAGCCCGTAGGAATCCCCAAGATATTCTTCCCTCCACCAGGGAAACCCAGGAGATTTGGTCAAACACAGGAGAGAGCAAGAGTATCCTGAAAAGGTTTATGTGTGTCAGGGGGTTTGGTTGTAGGCGATCCACAGAGGAAGAGCAGGGAGTCAGGTGGTGGGGTGGAACCTGTATTGTCCCAAAATTTCCAGTGTCCTTGTTCTCGAGAGCTTATGTCCTTCCTTTTTGTTACTGACCCTGATTAGGGGAAAATAGGTTGTTACAACTGCCCCATAAATGTATTGCTTGGCACACCTACAACATCGTAACAACTAAGGGCACTTTGGTCCACTTAATAAAGTTAATTTAGAGGGACCATCTGCTTTGAAATCGTGGAGAGAAGTTCTTTAGATGTAGCAGCAGGAACATTTCAAAATGCTGAAGAACAGGGCCGTACCAGAACCTGCCGGAGGAACAGGCCTGGAGACACAGCCTGCCCAGTCAGCATTGCCTTTCCCACCTTCTACCCACAGCACACACACGCACACTGCATGTGTGTAAACACATATGCATGTGCACACACTGCATGTACACATGTGCACACATGCAGTGTAGTGAGTGTTCTTGCTGAGGCTTTCCTGGTGTCTGCAGAATGCAGCATCTGTATCCAAGCACAGAGTAAAGAGTAAATGTTTGTCACATGAATGATTCTGCTGCCTAACAAAGCAGTAGAATTTTGAATTGAGCATTAACGAAAGGCCTTTGTGTTACAGATATTCTAAGTGCTAAAGCCGTGCCAAGGGGTATGTGCCATACTTTGGAACTTGAACTTTTTAATCTGTTTTGGCTTTTTAAAGTTAGCCTTCTTCTGAGAAGTAAAATGAGATAAGCCCGCCAGCTACATGATTCATCCCTGTGATTCCCTGGGCAGTGGAAAGGCCCTGAGGAAGGCGGCAGGAAGTGGCGGGAAAGAGTGGCTGTCACTGGACGAAAAGGGAAGAGGGAGAGAAGAGAAGGGGCCTGTGGATGTTGAGAGAAGGACCGACAGCCCTGGGAAGAAATCCAGGGAGCTCTGGTCGAGGGTAGTGGGAGGTCGAGCTGAAGGAAGAGAGAAGAATGCTGTGCTGTCTTTGCAGAGCTGCCTTTGGATGGAATTAATCTGCAGAGGGCGTAGCAGAGTTTTCTAGAACTCCCCAGAAGTCTCTATAGGTGCCCACATCCTCTTACTGTATACTTTGTGTGTGTGTGTGTGTGTGTGTGTGTGTGTGTGTGTATATATAGATATTTGTACTTGTGAGCATTTAATAAATTTCCCTCTGTGTGGCTTCAAGCTGCCAGGATCCAGGCCCTGCCAACACCCTAATCTTCTCCTTAGCTCTTTGCTGAGGAACTGCCTTCACGATGACGGCTGTTTTGGGGGCTTTCCCTTCCCCAGAACTTTGTGGAGCCCGAGCGCCCCCAGTAGCGATGGAGCAGCTCCTGTCTTGTTTTTGGCAGAACTTACCTGTGTCTGCTCCCTGACCGAGGTCCACAGTTTACCGAGGCTGATGTCTGGGCAGAAGCTCAGGTTCCCTGTTAAGTGGTGATGCCTCATAGCAGCTTCCCCAGGTGAGCTGGGTGATCGATGTCAAAGTGGATCCTGTGGCAATGCCGCCGTCAGCATTACAGGCCTCCCGGGGTTCCCGCGCTGACTGATGCGGCCATGGCCGTGGCTCACGTGGCCCCGAAGTTCCAGGTGTTCATCATCTGGATGGCGTGGGGGCCAAGATGCCCTAGCCAATACTTTTACATCAAGTTTTTTACTAAGAAGTAATACATACTTGTGTATTTTAAAGAAATGCCCAACATTGAAAGAAAGAAACTTAACTTTTGTATATTTCCTTTTAAAAAACTGTCATGTAGGTGTTACACATATTTATATTGTCTGTGACTCCATTTCCCCGGGATGAGCACAGTTGTGTTCCTCAGTAACGCAGGTTGGGGAGAAGGGCAGGGTTTGCTCGGCAGCCAGATTGCAGCCGAAGTGCAGCCACCGCGGGCGCATGCTGGAGCCCTCCCAGCTTCACACGGCCTTTCCCTGCCTCCGCTTAGGCCCCGCCACCTAAATGTCCTGAGGAATAGCCATGCCCTGAGCTGAGGACATGGGCAGAAAGGGCTTACTGTATTCCAGGCAGATCAGTGAAAAGACCTACATTGATGCATCTGGGCAAATTGTTGAAAGAGCCAGGATCATAAGAGGGGAAAAGGCTACAAGCCACCCAGGCATTAAAAACGGGTGGCCTAACCCAGGCCAGGTGGCTTAGTTGGTTGGAGTGTCGTCCTATGCACCAGAAGGGTTGCAGGTTTGATTATCAGTCAGGGTACAGTCCTAGACTGCAGGTTCAAGTATGAGAGGCAACCAATCAGTGTTTCTCTCTCTCTCCCTTCCTTTCCCTCCCCCTCCCTCTTTCTCTCTCTCTAAAATCAATAAAAATATGTCTTCAGCCCTGGCCGGTTTGGCTCAGCGGTTGGAGCGTCGGCCTGCGGTACAGAGAAAAATATGTCTTCAAGTGAGGATCAAAAATAAATACATTAGTTAATTAAAAAAAAATATTTTCCCTTTATTGATTTTAGAGAGAGAGGAAGTGAAAGGGAAAGAGAGAGAGAAACATTGATGAGAACATCGATTTGGGCCCACAACCTGGGCATGTGTCCTGTCCGGGAATAGAACTGGTGACCTTTTGGTGCATGGGCTGATGCTCAACCACTGAGCCACACCAGCCAGACAGATTAGTTAATTTTTTAAAAATGGGTTGCGTTCAGCCCTGGCCAAGTAGCTCAGTTGATTAGAGCATGATCCTGATACACTAAGGTTGTGGGTTCGATCCCCAGTCAGGGCACGTACCAATCAGTGAGTGCATAAATAAGTGGAATAACCAATCGATGTTTTTCTTTCTCTCCCTCCCTCTCTCTAAAAAGTCAATAATAAAATAATGATTTAAAAATGGACTGCCTACAAAGAAGTGGCAGTTGGGGTGGTGTGGACTTCCGCAGTGTTCCGTGCCAGCGCACAGTGAAGCGTCACTCGAGTTCGTGGGGAGAGCCCTGACTCAAGTATTTTCACTCAGGTTGTATTCTGTGCACGTCAGCAGGGGGCCTGTCCTAGCTGCACATGGGCTAGAAGTTATACCTCCTATATACTATGATTTTGAGGGGGGAAAGCTGTGCAAAGACCTATTCCAGATAACTCGGAGATGGTCAGAACCCACACTTCAAAAATGGTACATCACAGGGTAAAAAGTGCAGGCCTTCCCTAGCGTACGTAGCCTGGACCCCAAGCTCAGAAGCCCCCCGGAGGCTGTGCACCCCGCCATCCCTGTGGCCTCGGGCTCAGAGCCCTTCCAGCACACCTGCTCCTGCTTGGTCTTCGGCCCGCTTTCCTGGTGGGCATGGGTTTCTGCCATCAGACCCTTCGCCCCACAGTTCATACAGGTTTTCTCACCTGGCTTGATGATTCCAGCATTTGCTCACATTGGCTCAACTCCTGTAAAACTGACATGACCACCAAGCAAAACCCTCCCTCTCCTTAATTAGCATCACACAGAAACATCATTGCATGCGAATCACCCAGGAAATGGAGCCATGGTTTCTGTATTTTCAAAACATGCTGAATGACCTAAACTGTTTTGTTTTTTAATGCTTACCTGAGGACATTTTTCCATTGATTTTCCAATAGAGTGGGAGTGAGGGAGGGAGAGAGAGAGAGAAATATCAATGTGAGAGAGACACATGGATTGGCTGCCTCCTGCAGGACCCCAACCAGGGCCTGGGATTGAACCAAAACTGAGGTATGTGCCCTTGACCAAAATCAAACCCACGGCTCTTTGGTCCTTGGGTCAACACTCTAACCACTGAGCCAAACCAGCCAGGGCTAAGCTGTTTTTAATGAATAAACCAGATATACTGTATACCAGAATATCTCCCAGTCACCGTGCATGCAGACAGCTGGTCCTTAGGTGCAGTCAACATATGTACATGCAGAATCCCAGAGGAGGAAATGCTGGGGAGAATGAACAGGGCAGGAACTGGCCTTCCCCAGATCCCTGAGTAAAAGGTACCCTGCAGTTTCCAGGAAGTTGTGGGTCATGATTTCGGCAGCAGAGTGACTGGCAGGCAGCCACCCTCTCCTCGGTTTGTCCACGCGGAGGATGAGGAACAGGAGGGGTCACTTCTCTGTGAACATGGAGCCAGAATCTCAGGTCCCTGGAGGGGGACCTGTCCCCAGGCCCTGCTGTGTCTGTGGTGGCAGCTTCTCTGCCTGTGCACGCCCAGCATGAGGCCAGGGGGCAGGGCTCGGAGGCACATGCTCTCTCCTGATGAAGCCTCGTGCCCTCTGCCTCCCTGTCACTTGCAGCCGACTGGGAAGATGCTTTCGGACAGCCAGCCACTTCAGCCCCTGGTCTATATGGAGCGCCTGGAGCTCATCCGAAACGTCTGCAGGGATGAGGCCCTGAGGAACCTCTCCCACACTGCGGTGTCCAAGTTCGTCCTGGACCGAATCTTTGTCTGTGACAAGCACAAGATCCTTTTCTGCCAGACTCCCAAAGTGGGCAACACGCAGTGGAAGAAAGTGCTCATCGTGTTAAATGGTGGGTGCCGTGCCTGTTTTGTGTCCCACCTTGGGGACTTTGGGATTGCCCTGGGAGGGCTACCCCCAAGGCCACGACCTCCTCACTTTCCACAGCAGAGCAGAGTCCCCATCTCGGGCAGCCTGCCCACCCCGGGGAGCCCGTTTCTCCAGAGTCATGGCCTTGATTTCCACCAGTCACTGCCTCTGTCCTCGTAAGTCAGGGTCCCACACACACTGGGCCACCAGGAAGCTGCCCCACAACTGTCCTTCCTGTAGAGAGAAGGGTCCCTACCCCCATGCCTAGGAGGGGAGCCCTGCCAGTGGGTGGGGGGGCCTCTTCACCCACAAAGTATTCGGTGCCACTTGGGTAGAAGGAAGTGGTCCCCGGTTTACACCAAGCACCCGTATTCAGAGGATTTAACTGACTTGCTTCAGGCAATCTGATGTTTTCTTGGGAACAAATTAGGTCACTGACAACTACCTCAGACACTACAGTATATTATTTGCTGCTCTTTCCAGGCACCGTGTTTGTTTAAACTCCCTCACTCTGAGCTGATTTGGCACTTAGGACTCTGTGGGTGAAATTCAGCTGTCAAAGAAGCACGGTTCCAGGTGACAGTGTGACCCTGAGTGAAGGGTCCAACCTGGGAGCACTGTGGGCAGCATCCCGGGCCCCCGACTGCCGCTGCTATTCTCAGTCAAGGGTTCAGAGTTTGTTGTCATTTGGCCTTTTCACTGGTTGTTTGGGGGCGAAAAGAGACACCTCATTTTCTGGTAAATAATGAACATGCTTAAGTAATCTGACAGCATGTTGGATTTTTGACATAGAATGAGGTTACAAATCAAATGGCAAACAATGAACATAGGAGTCATGAATCTGCCGCCACCGCAGGAAGCATCGGTGAAGGGCGGGGCAACAGCAGGAGTGGGTTTGCCAGGACACCTGCAGGCACACCTCAGGTGCTGCGGTTCGTTCCAGACCCCAGCAATAAAGCAGGTACTGCAATAAAGCAGGTCAGATCCTTTGGCTGGTGGAGTCTTGCCTTCAATTTGTAAAAATTCAGTTTGTTAAAATATACAGCATAATAAAGCAAAGCGCAATAAAACAAGGTAATACCTATAATGGAAAAACAGGTTGTCTTTGTGGCTGTCTCCCGCCGGCCCTCGATGCACCTGGGTGGGAACAGGTACCGGAGCAGGTCCATGTGCACATCCACAGGGTTGATTCCTTCTACAGTCTTGCCTGTTTTAGAGCCATCCACAGCAGTTAGCACGGAGTTCTGGACTGGTGCTTCAACATTCGGGGCAAGAATGCATAAAACAGACAAGGGTGGCCACTGCTTAGACAGATTCTTTCCTGCTGGACTAAGTTTAACATGACAGGATTAACGCAGAAGTGGATGTAAATGTTGGCAGAGGCTTGGCTAAAAGCTCGGATAATGACATTTTCTTTCCATTTGTCTAAGTTGCAAAAAGAATAAAAACCTACCCAACCCACCAACCCAAGGATAGATCTCTCCAGGCTACATCCATCAGCCTGCCCCTGGGCACTGTGGCTCTCGATCCTCCCATTTTCTTCTCAGTCACTTCTTGTCCTCCTTGACCCTTGCTTTAAATACATCACTCCCGCAACATTCCTGGATTGTTCTGGCACCAGACGTCTCTGCCACTTGCCGTCTGGAATGCTGTGAGGTTACCTAGACTTCCATAGGCCCAGGGAGGTGGTGGGCCCGAGTGCTCAGAGCTGTGGTGCGCCGCACTCTGCTGCTCTGGTGTGTCCCCCAGTCTCACAGCAGAGTGATGTTGGTGGCCTTAGGCATTCTGTTTGCCTGCAGTGACCTGTCTGCCACGGTAGATGTACCCCAGCTCCGGTGCACTGCCAGGGTAGGTGTCCTTTCCACCCCATGCTCATCCCCTCGCCTTCCTCCTGACTTGTCTGTTTCCTCTAGTTGGCTTATAGATTACCAAAAGCTTTGCCCCCCTCTCCTCTTGCCATGTATAATTCATCTTAGTTGGAATCCAAAGGCCCCACCATGGATATTGGGGATCGCTTGCGGGGAACATGGGCCCAAGTGAACATGGGCGTGTTCTTTAAAGGTAGCACCAAGGTGGCCAACACAGCTTCTCCCTTGTTTACTTCCCAGGAGCCTTTCCTTCCATCGAAGACATCCCTGAAAACGTGGTTCACGACCACGAAAAGAACGGCCTCCCTCGGCTCTCCTCCTTCAGTGATGCAGAAATTCAGAAGCGGTAGGAGCAGGTTCCTACGGGGAGGGGCATGCTGATACAGTCCCGGCTCAGTTCTGTACCTGCCCTGGGTCCCAAGCGACGCCAAGGACTCCAGGGGCTCTGGTTTACTTTGGGGAGAGGCGGCTGAGCATATGCCCAGCGTTCAGTGCATTTAAATTCAGAAGTCGATGAGAATTTCAGAACGACTCTCCACCCTTACCTTCATGCAGTCCAATGAAATGAAGGTGTGCCATTTTCCTAATAGAAATGAGTGGTCATTTTTGTTCTGCTTTGGTTGTGTTAAGTTTTATGGACTCTTGACTGCATATGATTGTTGTTTCATAAGAAAGGGATTTAGGTTGCAGGGAAACCCCGGTGAGTTTTTCTTTTTTCCCAAAGGCGTTGTGCCTGCCTCTATGGCGGCTGCCCTAGGAGTGGTGGACTGGACCTAGCACAGCCGGTGACAGACCCCACAAGCACACCAAGGACGGACGCTGGCGTTTAAGGAGTACTTAGCTATACATGGAGAAGCTCTCTGGATTAGCTGTGAAATGGCCCCCTAGAACAAACTAGAAGGAATAAGCCTGGCGGGGACCAGTCGAACTCGGCGCCCACTCGCCCATCTGCACCTTTTCCCTGCCTCCAGCCCTGGTTCCGCAGTGCCCCGCCCTGTGCGGACCTTCGGGCGCAGGTGTTCGGTGCCGGTGCCAGAGCCGGCGGCCGCCCTGCACCGTCCTGGGACTTGGGTAGAGGAAACGGTTAAGGGTGCGGAGCACTGAGCAGTGTCTGGCGTGGATGACAGCAGTGGCCCCGGGACCCTTGCGCCACCACTGCCACTCCCGGGGTCTCCCAGCCGCCCTGGGAGCCCGACGCCTCACTCTCCTCTCTTACCACCACCCGCCAGCGCTTAATTCCCCTTCCCCTGGCAGTTTTCAATTGAATCTTTAAAGATACAAAGTAACTTTCTCTGGCCTCAGCTGTTCCTAACTCATTCAGAGTTCCTGCCTTTAGAATTTTCTGCCCAGGAACAAGACTTTTTTTTTTTTGGTTAATCCTCATCCAAGGGTATTGTTCCATTGATTTTTACATAGAGTGGAAGGGAGAGAGAGAGATGGATTTGAGAGAGACATTGATTGCTTGCCTCCCCCACGACCCCGCCAGACTGGGGCCAAGGATCAAACCTGCAATCCAGGCATGTGCCCTTGACCAGGAGTTGAATCCGGGACTCTGTTGTCCGCAGGCTGACACTCAAACCGCTGAGCCAAACTGGCCAGGGCCCAGGAGCAAAACTTTTAAATGTTCTTAAAGTTTGAAATACTCAAGTAAAACAAAACATAGGTTAAGTAGATGTTTTCACAGTGGACCCCGGGTGAGGTCTGTGGCCCTGGACAGTTTCTGAGCCTCCGTTTCCTCATCTGTAAAATGGGCTCTAACAGGCTTTGCCTTCAGCGGTGTTTGGGTGGAGCGAGTACGAGGCGCATGTGATGTGCTCCTCTCGGGTTCACCAGGCGAGGGTTCAGGAAGTGGCAGCGGCTGCTGTTCCAGCCGCCACTCTCCTCTTCCCTCCCTCACAGCCGTCACCACCAACAGCATTGGCTTAACCTCGTTTATCTTCATTTCTCTCCTTAGTTTGAAAACCTACTTCAAGTTTTTCATTGTAAGAGATCCCTTCGAAAGACTGATATCCGCTTTTAAGGATAAGTTCGTTCACAATCCCCGCTTTGAACCTTGGTACCGGCATGAGATTGCTCCTGGCATCATCAGGAAATACAGGAGGAACCGGACGGAGACCCGGGGCATCCAGTTTGAAGACTTTGTGCGCTACCTGGGCGATCCCAACCACAGATGGCTGGATCTGCAGTTCGGGGACCACATCATTCACTGGGTGACATACGCAGAACTGTGCGCGCCCTGCGAGATTGCGTACAGTGTGATTGGCCACCACGAGACCCTGGAGGACGACGCCCCGTACATCTTAAAAGAGGCGGGCATAGACCACCTGGTGTCGTACCCCACCATCCCTCCGGGCATCACTGTGTACAATAAGACCAAGGTGGAGCACTACTTCCTGGGCATCAGCAAACGAGACATCCGACGCCTGTACGCCCGGTTCGAAGGGGACTTTAAGCTCTTTGGGTATCAGAAGCCAGATTTTTTGCTAAACTAATGTGTAGAACTGTGAATCCAGATGCGTGTGTAGACCAGAGGCTAAGCAGGTGGAGAGCCGAACACAGGAACAGCACTTCCTCCATCACGCTCCTGAAGACGTGTGGTCACCCACAGGCCCCCACACACCTCGGCCGATGAAGCTGCACCCCGACCACTATGGCTAACTTTGAACGTCAGGTGCCCGGAGGGCCTTTGTCCCCCACCCCTACCAATGCCAGGAGATCTTTGCTCCCCTTAGAAGGGAAAAGGACTCAGACCAGGAGGACAAGCTGTACAGAGGGTCATTTCCCTTCGCTGTCGAGGAGGGGAGGGGAGGGGAGGGTCCTGCCTGCCACTGGGGGACTGCAGGGTTGGCACCCAGCACTTTACCCAAGAAGCTAGTGGTGAGCAGAGATGGCAGGGCTAACCCAGGACCACGTCTGTGTAATAAAATAGCCCTGGCTCTCATCTTGGCGCTGCTGTAACCACAGGGGTCAACCATTCCTTCCACCACTGTCTTGCTCCTGGGAGACAGGGGTGACCCACGGGCACCTTCTGGCAGTCCGTCCCTCCAGAATGCATGTCTGTGTGCCACTCGGCCATATTTCTGATCCTCTCCTTGCCAAGTGATTATCTCATTCAGCCTAAGAGGTACAATTTTGGAAAGTGAGGGAGGGAGTGTATGTTCTTCCTACCTGAGAAAGCAGATGTCTTTGGGGGCCTTAAAGGGAACCAGGCCCTGGAAAAGGAAGAGCTGGTGGGTCCGGAGCTCAGGCTGCTGTGGGCGGGGTTTGGCCCGGCGTCCTGAGTGCCCTCCCTCTTATCTTCCCACCTGGACGGGTGGGCGGGGGTTCTCCTCCTGCAGTCCTACAGTCAGTGCGTCACAGGTTCAGGTTCAGTCTCACTCGGGGCCCGTTTCTGTTAGTGCCGCTGCCCGGGACTCTGAGTTGGATAGTGAGGTTCACCAGCAATAAAATCCCTGGCCGAGGCAGCCGCCAGTATTGCATCTTCCCGCACTGAGGAGTGAGCCACGGCCACGCCCGATGCCAGACCCGAGGGCCCCTGCGATGCCCACCGGCTCCCTGTGTAGTGCCCGAGCCCAGCTTTTCTTTGGGCAGCCTCCACCATGCCTCCCTCGGAGGGCCGGCGTCTGCGCGGGTGACAGTAAATAAAGAGAAGCTGTCCAAACCCGGCACAGGGTCCCAGCGGCCTGGGGCAGTGAGGGCCTGCTCACGCGGCTGCGGGGAGGCTGCGCGGAGGCTGCGGGACCGCGGAAGGGAGGGCCCACGTGCGACCGACCCCAGCCGGACCGGGTGTTGGTGTAGCGTTTCGTCAGCTGCCGCGCAGGATGTGACATGAGCTCCTTTCTGTCTTGTGGAAATCATCTCACACCTAATAAGCTGACTGAGCACCTCATTCCTATTTGAAATGTAACAGTGTGAATAATAGATTTTAATCTAAGGCCTTAAAGTTAGTCCTAATTTTTTTAAAAAACACTATCTTTTCTTTCTTAGAAATAAAGGTTGGAAAACTGGGTCCCCATGTGTTCCCTAGTTCTCTGGCATTTAGATTTCAGTCACTTTTCTTTGGCATGTGGGTAATTTTGCCCAACAAGTAGGGTTAACCCCCAGAACATCTGGACATTTCACATGTCCCAAACATCGGTTCCCCATCGCCACCCTGCACGGCAGCCGCCCCACCGAGTCACCCTCCCCTGAAGTCATTAACTTCCTTCAGTCTCCAAAATCCACTTCCTCCCACCCGGGCCCCAAGAGGAGGCACCCCTTCTGGCACGGGGCAGTTTCCCTCCCTGCTGCCCCCAGGGGTCTTTGCAGACAGTCTGTAGCCCGTCTGGCTGGGTCCTTCCTGGAAACACTGCCTGTGCTGGGAACCTCCTCACGTGGCACATGGCACCCGGCAGCTGTCTCGACCTGCGCCTGTGCCAGGAGCTCTGTGTCCCCAGCCCTGGGTCTTCCTGGCTGAGCCCAGACCTGCCCAGGGTTGGGGCTGGACGGCCCCCAAGGGGAGGGGCACTAAGATGGGGGTGGGGCTGGGGTGCCACCAAGGGGCAGGGCTCAGAGCTCATTCCCAGGCAGGGACACCTCCAGGTAAGGAGATGGGCAGCAGGAAGGGGTGGTTGGTGGGAAATGTCTAGGTGATAACTCAGACGTCATGTTAAGCCTGGATTTGAAAGAAGCATGAGCTCTGGCCAGGTGGCTCAGTTGGTTGGAGCATTGTCCCGTGCATCAAAAGGTTGTGAGTTCAATCCCCCGTGGGGGTGTGTGCAGGCGACAACTGATTGATGTTTCTCTCTTTCTCTCTAAAATAAAAAATAAATTTAAAAAAGCAACTCTGACTCCAAGAAGCAAGCAGTCTTAAGGCGTGGAGGGCAGTCCCAAAATGGACAAATTTAGCCTTGGGCTGGGTCACCGGGCTGGGTCACCAGGCTCGTGTCACAAATCGCTCGCTCGCACTGGATTTGTTTTCTGCTCACACATCTCCCTTTCATTGGCCTTACACTGAAAATCAGCCCTACGGTGTGGCTCTGTTGGTTGGAGCGTCCTCCCCTACACCAGAAGGTTGTGGGTTCCATTTCCGATCAGCACAAACCCAGGTTGCAGGTTCGGTCCCCGGTTGGGGTGCGTGCGGGAGGCAACTGATCAGTGTTTTACTTTCACATCGATGTTGTTTCTTCTTGCTCTTCCTCTCCCTCCCTCTCTAAAATCAGTAAAAGCATGTACTCGGGTGAGGATTAAAAAAAGGAAATCACTGCAGTGAAATGTCCAGAGCCGAGAGGAGGTTTGTTTCGGTGGCTGACTGTACAGAGACGCTGCCGTTCGCCAGGCTGAGCGACCCAGACGGCCTCCCTCGAAGGGGTCCTGGGAGCCAGAGTGACCAGGGAGGGTCCTGGAGGCTTTCTCGGGGATGTTGGTCCCATCGCTCACACTCTACCTCCCCCCACCCCACCCTGCTTCCCACTCAACCCCAGCGTGATCTTGAACTGGGCTCTGCAGAAGCAGGGAACCTGCATGAGAAGTGGGGAAGGAGCCGGAGGAGGCCTTGCCGCCTACTTGATGCCAATTAAGATGTTCAAAGTACATTTTCCAAGCCCCTCTGAGGAGCCAGCCGTGCACCAGGGCTGCGGGGCTGCGGAGCTCAGCAGAACAGCAGGCTGATGGGAGAGGAAGGGTCCCCGCCCCTCCGGCTCTCTTCTCACTGGGAGGACTGGGGAGGGAATAGAGAGCAGGGGTCACATCTTTGCTGCTTTGCTTCCAAGCCAACCTTCCTGTCGACTTAACAGTGGTTACCTTGAAGCCGGCTAAACAAGGCCTGGACAGGAATACCATGTTTATAATCTGCGCTTTCCTCAAGGCTGAGCCACGTTGTTTACCTGCTGAGTCTTAGTGGGCCTTGGTCAAAACCTTCTTCAGTCCTATTTCCTATGGTCTGGAATCTACTCAATTTTTGTAACACTGCAAGGGCCCAGGTTTCTGGAATAGTGGTGCTTGCCAACTTAAAGTAGCCAATTCTCTCCTCTCCCCTCCTATCTCTTCTCTTCCTCCCTTCCCCCTTCATAAATATGAAGAGGAACAATCAACACACATGACCACACTGCCTCTTTCCCTAGCAGCCTCTGCTCTTCGTCATCATTTTATCACAGGCAACTGTTTTACTCACTAGTTCACCACCACATAACCTGAGTCTTCACCTTTTCAGCCTAATTTATTTATTTATTTATTTATTTATTTATTTATTTATTTATTTATTTATTTTTATTTTTGCCATTCAGCCCCTAACCACTAAACACTGTCAGATATTTTAAGTTTCTGTAACTGCGGCACCAATATCAAGATACAGATTTCTTTATTAGATAACATTAGCTGTTGTTACAAATTAACATCAAGGTTTCAGTGACGTACGACAGTGAAGTGATTGTTTCTTGCATACGTGATCCAGTGATCGGTTCCTTGGAGGCGGGGTTTTCCATCTCAAGGTGGCTTCGTGTCCAAGGGTCTCGTCATGAGAGAGTGGAGGGGCACGAGAGACATTGTTACGCACCAGTTGTGGAATTGGGACACTTGCCATCTTTATTCTTTGGCACAAAGGAATTTCAAGGGGTCTCCCTCCCTACTCCTGTACATGTATGTCAAGGTGGATAAACTAGGTTGTCATTCTGCAAGTCCGAGGGCTTGTGATAGCCAACAGAACATTAGATTAACTAAACCTAAATCCTGTTCACCCTGCAAGGAGGCCTTGGGTCAGTTATCTATTACTGAAAATACTTTTTTAAATGGACATATCTCCTCACATTTCCTGTTCTCCTTTACCACAAACTACCCACGCCCCTTCTATTACCCGACTGTGACCCTCATGGTAAGGGGCTTTTTCCATTTATTATCGTAACTCCAGAGCTTGAACACAATAGGTGCTCCATAAATGTCGCATTGACTTGGTATAGTCATTTAGTACAGTGTTTTTACAGGGATGCTCATTGACCCCCTCAGTTACTCATCCGCTACTCACCTTGGCATGGCTGCAGCAAGCCATTAGATTTCCCTCCTTCCCAGATGCCAGCAAGTAACAGGGGAGTAGGTTATGAACTGAAGCTGCTTCTACCCCACCCCATCCCTAAAGCTTGAGGACAGGGATGCCAAATTAGGGAACATGTACACACACAAACACACCACACCACACACACACACACACACACACCAATTTCTAAATATATGCTCTTCTTATTGGGTGTATTTTGCCTTTTCCCGTAGGAAAGCCCCCTAAGTAAAAGAACAATAACAATTTACACTTTCATCTCGCAAAGTAACAAGTGTAAGATGTACTTTAGAACTTCTGTATGTGCTGCAAAATGGTCTGTGAACATTTGGTCACAGTGTTGATCTTTCTGTCTCTATAGTCTGCCTTTAACAGATATTTCACATAAATGGAATCACACTATGTGTAAATTCTTGAGTATGGCTTCTCTCCCTTAGCATAGTCTTTTAGGTTCATCCATATTGTCACAGTTTCTTTTGCTGCTGAGTGGGTATTCCATCCTGTGGAAATAGCACGTTTTGTTTATCTAGTCACCATTTCATAGATACTTGGATTGTTTAAATTGTTTGGCTCTTATAAGTTATGCTGATATGAACGTATACCTTCAGGTCTTTGTGTAGATGTCTTCATTTCTCTTGGGTAGATACTTAAGCATGGGATTGCTGATCATAGACGGATGTTGTTTAATAAAAGGATAAACCAATGTTATGATTTTAAAAAAGTTTCTAAAGGACAAAAATACCAGAACCAAACTTCATGTTACATAAAGAGTAAAGCTAAAGAATTAGCCATAGCAATTCCATTGCAGAATTATCTACAAACTGGAAGGATAATAATATAATTAGCAACAATATATTCTCTAGCCTTCAGTTGGTCAGTAGATACTAGATAACTATGACCAAATCTGTAGACTTCTGGGCCAGTGACTACCCCACAGAAAGGCGCGGTCAGCTGGCCCAGGCCAGGAGAGCTGGGAACCCCAGGACTTGGCTCAGGAAAGCAGAAATAAGTGACAACCCGGTTCCTTCTCCCCCAGAATATCTGCATGACACCTCATGATTCATTTCAATTAATTTTCTGATGTTTTGCAATTTTTGTCATTCCCATTATGGCATCTCTTACTGCTCTTAAAAATAGCCAGCTGTGGAAACGTATACAATTTTGGATAAATCAAAACTGATTCTTGACGAAAGTGCCGAGGACCTCTGACTTGCACAGCATTATATACACTTCCGCGTATAAGAAGAGGGGCAGGATGGCAGAAGTGAGAATACCCATTTTATGGTTGGGGCCATCCAAGAACGAGCTTCACAAGTTAAGGGGTTCTTGGCCACCCCTTACAAACGGCCCTGCTGTTTGCTCCGCCGGCGTTGTTTCGCAGCCTTCCTCCAGGGGGCGCTGTTTCCTATTCCGTGCACACTGAAGGCAGGTCCCCTCCCGGGAACAGGGAGCCCACTCAGGCCTTCTTAGACGCTGCAGTGACAGCAGTTCAAGGCACGATTATACCGAAATGCGGCCCAGAGCAAACGGCCGGACTTCCACTGCTGAAGAGCAGGTAGAGAGTAGGACACCTAACTGCACCGACGGAGAGCTTGCCAACAATCTCAGGGCCATGGAAGGAGACACTGTGGATTTTGTTACATCAAGCCTCTAAAACACCAACGGTAGAAAGATTCCC